GATAAGTGTCACACCACAATACTGGCGGCCATTTTATGGACCGACTACAAAACATCTTTTGTATCAATCCGTCGTATATTTAAGCCATCCTTTGTGAATCCTTGCTGCTTTTATATAATTCTTACTGGCAATGTACCAAATGTGGTATTTTAAACTTTATTTGTTGATTTTGGGAGAGATAAAAACAATAACAAAGCCATGATACTTTGACGTATACTGTCGCTATACAGATATGTAAAACATGCCGTCAATACCGGCAAATGCGACATAAATATTGTATAAAATTCATTCAACTTACCCTCGATACTTGAAGTGTGAAGGGAAACTTCTAAAATGTCCATATCGCTGCTTTCCGAGTCGTTTTCTTGCCTTATTTCAGCCATACCCGAGAACCGCAGAATATACGATCGAGTGTCGGGTGTCATGTCGGTAACACAAGGTTCAAAGCGCAGTGCGCAAAATACAAATAATTCTTTGAAAAAAACGCCCAGCAAGTCTAATCAGAACACAAAAATGGAAGATAAGGGTACAGAGAAGGAGATGAACAAAAATTTCGGAAGCGAAGTTAAACTACAAGATATATTTGAGTTGATATCTGGTATGAGCAAGAAGATGGACAAGTTGGATATCATCCAAGAAAATATGGAAAATATACAGACGGAATTGAAAGAAGTAAGAAAATCTATTGAATACGCTCATAGCGAAATAGACGATCTGAAGAAGGAAAATGAGAAAAAAGCGCAAGTTCAGAGAGAAACAACCGAACGCATCAACAAACTTGAAGCCGACAACACAACGTTATTGAACAGCGTCATTGACCTTAAAGCGAGGTCAATGCGCGACAATCTGCTGTTTTACAACATGCCTGAAGAAAGCGATGAAAACACCACAGCAATGATTCACAAGCTGTTGGAAGAAAAGCTTGGGTTCGAGGACGCTGCTATGAAAATAAAAATCGACCGTTCTCATCGCTTGGGAAAAAAGAAACGGGGAGAAACCAAAGCGCGACCAATTGTCGCAAAGTTCAATTTTCATCAGGATAAAGTTTCAATCATGCGGAATGCAAAGAAGCTAAAAGATACGGCAAGCAGAATCGGAATTTCTGAGCAATTTCCCGAGGAAATTGCCAGAGAAAGGAAGAGGCTTTACCCAGAATTTAAAAAGGCAAGACGTAACAATCTAAAAGCTACTCTTGTCAGAGACAAACTGTTTATCAATGGTGAATTGTTCAGGGGATAATCAATATCATATTAAACAGGTTTTATATCTTTATTAACTTTTACTTTTATACAAGTCATACAATTTGAATACTTTAATTCTTATTAACAAACTAAACTTTTCTTGATAGTCAACAATGACTACTGAAAAATCAAACGTAAACAACGCGATAAAAACATGTTCATCCTGTTCTGAATTAATTTCAAATAATATTTCCGAGTGCAACATGTGTCATAAATGGTTTCACGCTGTGAAAGAATGTTTGAAATCATTTCCTGATATGCCTGACTCGCAGTTAATTTCATCTCAGGATATTAATCATATATTCCGCACTTGTTTCGAGTGTAATCCATCGTCTAAATTCAATAACATAAACGTAGACAAACTAAATGATTTGAAATTTAACCCTTTCCAGACAAATAACGATGTAGCTTTCAGCCAACATAACACAAATCTTGATAAATCTCTCAACATTAACGAAATAGACTGCAACTATTATTTACCAACGGAGTTTATAACAAAATCTGAAAAACATTTCCATTTATCTAATGCATTTTCTATAATGCATCTAAATATAAGAAGTATAAGAAACAAATTTGATAGCTTTAAATATTTAACTGAATCACTAATCAAGAATGTAAACATAATAGGTCTTACTGAAACATGGCTTAGCAATAATGACTGTGAACAAAATTATAAATTAGGAGGATATGACTATATAGGATTAAATAGGGAGACTAAAAAAGGAGGGGGAGTTGGTATATATATTAAAGAGCATATAAACCGCAAAAAACGTGAGGACCTAACCACAAATATTGAAGATATCATTGAAAGTGTTTGCATTGAAATATGCACAACCGTAGGGAAAAATATTATCATTGCAGTAATTTATAGACCACCAAATAACAAAATTGAAATATTTGAAAATGCAATGAATGATTTATTGAATAAAATTGATCGAGAAAACAAAATCTGTTATCTTATGGGAGATTTCAATATAGACTTACTTCAGTCAGAAACCTGTGATATTGCTAATAGGTTTAGTGAGCAACTTTTTACCTCCTCTTTTTACCCAATTATAACCAAACCAACCAGAATCACTGAACATACTGCTACTCTAATTGATAATATTTTCACTAATAATATAGATAAAATAGACTCAAGTGTAAATGGAATTATTTTCTATGATATCTCAGATCATCTACCCATATTGCATGTGTGTGACCTCAATGCAATCCATTTAAATAAACGTAACAAAGAAATAATAGACATTAGAGAATTCAATAATGCAAATATAAATGTTTTCAAGCAAGCTATTAATGAAATATCTTGGCCAAGTATTTTTTCTGATAACTCAAATCCACAACTAAGTTTTTCCGAATTCACAGAAACATTCTTAAATGCTTATAATAAAAGTTTTCCAACCAAAAAAAAAGTCATTAAAAATTCAATTGATAAAAGCAAAAGTCCTTGGATGACAAAAAGTGTCTTGAAATCAGTGAGAACAAAAAACAAACTATATAAGGCTTACTTACTAAACAATAGTAAGAAAAATCAAAATTTATACAAAAAGTATAAAAATAAGCTAAACCATGTTATTAAAGCATCAAAGAAAATGTATTATGAAGAACAATTAATAAAATATAAGCATGATACTAAAATGATTTGGAAAACACTAAATAATATTCTGAACAAAAAAACAAAGAAAACAAATTTACCAAAGCAGTTTGCTGATAATACGTCATCTAGCACTATAGATGACCCTATAAAAATTGCAAACAAATTTAATGACTATTTTGTAAATATAGGACCAAATCTAGCTAAGAAAATTAATAACACTAATATAACATTTGATAAATACCTCACAAACAGCATCCCTAATAGCTTATTTCTGGATCCAGTTACAGAATATGAAGTAAGAAGTGAAATAGAAAAACTAAACACAACCAAAAGTCCTGGACATGATGGTCTTAGTGCAAAAATAATAAAACTTGTGACAAATGAAATCTCTAAACCAATTACACAAATATTTAATCAAACATTCCTAACTGGTAATATTCCCCTTGAACTCAAAATAGCGTTGGTAACGCCGATTTATAAGTCAAATGAAGAGAACAAATTTGAAAATTATAGACCAATTTCAGTTATCACTTGTTTTGCAAAAATACTAGAGAAAATTATGTATAAACGTCTCATCAATTTTGTCGAAAAAAATAATATTCTATCAGAACACCAGTATGGATTTCGCAAAAATAGATCAACTGAACTCGCTATAATTGAATTTATTGATAAAATAACAAAAGCAATTGACAAAGGACAATATACAATTGGTATTTTCCTTGACTTGTCAAAAGCATTTGATACTATTAATCATAGCATCCTGATTAAGAAATTAGAATACTATGGAATTAGAGGTGTTGCTCTTAAATGGTTTGAGAACTATCTAGCCAATAGAAAACAAATTGTTAAGTATAATGACACTAAGTCTGAAGCAATGACAATAACTAGTGGTGTTCCTCAAGGTTCAATTTTGGGGCCACTATTATTTTTATTGTACATAAATGATATCCAAAATTGCAGCAAACTAGTTTCCAAAATATTGTTTGCAGATGACACAAATATTTTCCATAGCCATTCTTGCTTAAAAGAGTTAAATTTAATCATGCAAGACAAAATAAATAAAATAGCAGATTGGATTAGCAGTAATAAACTATCACTAAACACAACTAAAACAAAATTTATTTTATTTAAATCATCAAACAAAAGGATTAAACATAATACAATAATATCGATAAATGGACAACCAATAAAACAAGTTAAGAATACAACTTTTCTTGGTGTTGTTATTGATGAACACTTAACATGGAATGATCATATTGATTTAATTACGAAAAAAGTTATAAAATCTACAGGAATAATATCCAAAATTCGACATTTCACAAATTTTAATACTCTTAAACTAGTCTATTATGCTTTAGTTTATCCTTATTTAATATACGGAAATTTGATTTGGGGAAACACATATAAAAAACGACTACAAAAATTAATAAACATTCAAAAAAAAATAATACGATTAATGATGTTCAAGTCATATTCTGAGCATTCTGAACCACTATTCAATGAAGCAAAGATTCTTAACATTGAAAAAATTAATGACTTTCTGATCAGTTTATTCATGTTTCGATATCACTACTTGGATAATTTACCAAAATACTTTACCAATTACTATGTTACTAACAACAAAATACATGAACACAATACAAGAAACGCATCCAAACTTCATAAATCATACTCCAGAACTAATTTTGTCAAACATTCACTTCAAAATAAGGGTGTAAATATCTGGAATGAGTTAAATACTGACTTAAAAAAATTAAAATCCTATTGCACATTCAAAAAAAATTCAAAAAACCACTTCTTGCTGTTGCATTCGGAAACATAGATTTTATTATATGTATGTTTGTCATTATTTGAAACATTATAAAAATTCTTCAATCTCATCTTCTTTTTTCTTTTTCTATTAAACTTACTTTAAGTTCTGACCAATCAATGTAATAATTAAATACTTTTAACCTAGGGGTCTTAATCAAAAGCCTTTGTTTGGTTTCTAGTAGACCTCTAGCCCTATTTCTGTAATTCTATATCCTATATATACATATATATATATATATTTTTCTGTATGTATGGGCGAAAACTTTAAAAATAAATAAAAAAAAATAAATAAATAAATAAATAAAAGATAGTGCTTGTGACACGTTGTTCAGGTGATGTGTTAGACTTCCCCCAAGTCTCACTCGAATGGGTTTTAATAGTTTTAGCTTCAAGCTCAAAACTGATTTCATAATGTACTGGATAGACCCTATCAAAACCCATTCGAGCGAGACTTGGGGCAAGTCTAGTGATGTGTATTCTCGGTATACGCACATCGGGCAATACGCAGTAAACAGTGAGAAGAGAGCATTTGTACTACACTTATGACTAGGTTGACTGGGTTGTATCGTTCTCCCAGCGTTACTTTATCACGCCTTATCTGCTTTATTAATATGCTCGCATGCTCGAAAGGCTTGCAACATGTACGCGCCGCGTACCTATTTTTTATATTAAGACAATTATAGTTTTTATGTTCTTGAACAAAACATTTATAAACATTAACCTTAAAAATATTAACTATACCTATAAGGAATATATCTAAATATATGTAACGATTTTTAATGACAATTCGCAATCAGCCAGTAGCGTTGCCGTCCCCATATTTGGGAACGTTCCTTGCTGGGCTCTGGCTTACAGAAAGGGAGAAAAGCAACCCCGTCTGCATATGTTCCTTCAAGCTGCTAGTATATATGTGAAAGGTTGATGTAGTGGTGAGTGCATGTCTACGTTTTTGCGCTCCACTTGAAAAATTCTAGATTAAATCACATTTTAAATATAAGTTTCAGAGCGCTGTTGATTCGTATTAACTGGCAGTGCGTCAAAATGCGCCCTACTTTGGTATTTCCTCTGTCTGATGCCAGCCGATTTTTACTCGTCAGTGGTAGAGTACTGCCTGCCAGTAAATACGTTACACTTGATCCAATTTTGATCGGGGCTATGGTGTACGTTTCGTAGACCAATGATTTTGAGATTCAATACATTGGCCAAGTATAAAATGGGCTGTGATAGTTATATGCTGTATATTCAAATACATTCCTCAGCCGGAATGTAACCATATAAAAAAGATCAAAAATATAAAAAATGCGACACCCCCCCCCCATGAAAAATCAAATGGTCCGTCCCTTAGCCAACCCAGTTGACTTAGATGTTTTAATTCTCTTTAGTTCCTTGCAGTCGTTTATTGCAGAAAGATCAAAAGTACAGCTTGCGTTAGCCGATAAGCACGCTGCATGGGCATGCATTTCATCTCGACCAACAGGGCATTTCATCTCGACCAACAGGGTGTTCTTAACTCGTGACTTTACTATCTAACTTAACTCATCTATGAATACAGCCGAAATAGTTTTTCTGTATTTACCTGTATATTCGTTCGTTTTTGAAGCAGAGCTCCAGTCTGTGGAGTAATATTCACTCTAAAGTAAAGGAAGTAAATGGAAATTTATCAGCGTTGTTATAGATACACGAAAGACTTTATCGCGTTGTTCTTACCATGTTTGGCGTCTGTGTCAATGCCAAATTGCTTTTAGAGGCGAAATTAGATAAGGAAAGCTAAAGTGTGATAACCATATAGTCTATCAGGCCGATATGATGGTCTGGAAGCGCGGCAAAGTTACAAAACAGAAAACCTTTGTTTGCTGTTGAACTGGACCTCACCGTGCACAAATCCTTTGTCTCAACTTCACTAAATATTACTCATCGTGGTTGCACGCTTATCTCAGCTCTCCCTATTAAACGATCACTTTATTATACGAAATACAATGAGCTAGATCACCCTAACCATGCTCAAATGAACATAAACTCAGAAAAAAAAAACATAAGACGATGACTTCTGTTTAGTTTCCAAACAAATTATCGTCATAACCAACAAGCGGCATACCTTGTCATTGAGTACAATCCTTTGAAAAATACTGTAACTAGTACCAGGCTCCAGCGGAGCATTATAATAATCACTTGAGGTTGATCTGCGTCTTCGTGATGTTGGATCACTTGTATTTCTGCCATCACCAAGTACAAACATGTTTTCATCCTTTGATGCAACAACTGCAGCGATATAAGGTTTTGGAGTGGTTGAATTTCTTGCCTCGGCATACTTCACTAACTCACTGTTCTGGTAACTGTCAGATGATGTAGGTTCCTTGCCATCTTTCAATTTCAAAGCAACCACGTAGAAATAACTACAAACAAAATTTTACTTTCTTACTTCAAATATAACAATAGATCCAAATAGCTTCCTAATATGTAAGACTAATCTCAATGGAAGCTGGTTTTCTATTTGGTCATGGCGATGGCACTATGTCTATGTGTCGACTTATGTCTGCAATGAAAATTAAAAATGATTTGCATACAGTATACAAAAACAAGATATAGTGTCCAGACTCAGTATATTACAAGTATATGTTACAACGGAAGCTAGACTTTAATGGTACATCATAAAGTCGATAAACTTACAGAAACGTTTTTGATGGAATTTCCAACGAAAATGTGAGCGTACTTGATGTCATGTCTGTGGCCTTCTTTGCCGCTCCTGGAGGAAAATGTGAAAGTATTAATGAGTAAAATGCATTGCCATAACGAAGCACTGTGTAGGGTTTTTGAACGGCATAAAAGTAGGCAAGCATCAAATTCTGAATGAGTGTTTTCTTCACCACAGACAATATCGAAATATTGATTTTGTACTTACTTCCATTTGTAAAAAATCCTTTACTTCCACTGTAGGCACTATTTCCTGCTTTATTACTGGCAAGAACACGAACATAATATTTTGTTGATGGGTTCAAATTTCTCACGATCCACTCTCTATCAATTGTGGTATATATCTTGAAGCAAGGGCCATTTTCTGAATGTGAAACACACGCAGTATAACTGATAATGTCGCCATTTTGTTTATCTTTCTGAGGAGGATCCCAGGTGAAAGACAATGATGATGTACTTCTTGATGAGGTTTTGATGTTCAATGGAGGACCGCTTGGAGCTGAAGAATAAAACCAAGGTTTGTACTTAAATAAATAAAATTAATATAACTCGGACATTTTGAATATACAATGATTTGATTACCCTTGGTGTAAAGACACAAGCTTGGGGTATCAAAACATTCGGTCGTAAATGTAACTTTTGTTCGGGGGTTGCATTTTTTTTCTTAAACGACAGTTAGGAGTAAAAATATGGTAGAATGGTTATTTTAAGGGATGTAGCAACATTTTCTAGAGGCGGTCTGAGTAAGTTTCTTAAATCAAATCAAATCAACTTTTAATTTATTAAATTAAATCAAATCAAATCAAATTAAATTAAATTAACTTTTAATTTATTAAATTAAGTTAAATTAAATTAAATAGGTTATGGTTTCGGCTCTTTTTTCTGATTTTAGTCTGTGTTCTAGAGACTAAAAAGGCATCAAAATTTTAAATACACAATGCTGTCGTTAATATACTCGTTTGGTAGAGATGAATATGGACAGAAACACACCAAGAACTTCAAAAACATGAAAACAAACTGCCTAGAGTTCTTCACCTGCCTAGAGTTAGAACAGAATCTGCAAAACGTAGTTTCTACTATAATGGCTGTAAAATATATAATAAACTTAAACAGTGCCAATGACTTTCTAATTTAGTATAGAATTTTTAGCTTTAAACTATTAACTCGTATTGAACTTGAATTTAAATTATAGAACTCTTAGATTTATAAATTGTTGAACATATGTACCATTTTTACTTGTATATCAGAGCTCCTATTGATAGCAGTGACTTTCTGTCGCTGACAGAACTACTCTGTTTGAATAAAGGTATACTACTAACTATAGCTTCACATATAATTTGACTTGGAACATTGTTAATTTCAGTTTAAGCAATCATATGGACAAAACTGTTAATAAAATAGATCGAAATTTTAGGAAAATACATTCAAATAACTTCATTAGGTTTCCCCCCTCTCCCCCACCCAATGTTGCCATTATTTTCCCCACATTTTAAATGTAATTCAGCAACATTGTGCTGGGAGAAGAAGGGGGAGATATGGTTTAGGTGAGATACAGGAAACGAACCACAACTTAAACTCTCAAAGAGCCAAATTTTATTAACAAGTTATATCCGCGACTGTAGTTTAGTTCAACTATTTGGAACTCAATTTGGTACAAAAGACTACTCCAGTTGAGTTGCGTGGAAAATATGCGTTGAAAACAATCAATGAACAAGCGAATTACTTAATTTAATGTGATGATGGATTAAGGTACACCGAAGGTGTATGAATGTGTATAATGATTTGCCTCGTGATAACGGTGATATTAAGGAAATTGAGAACACTAGATCTAGATTTCTTAAGAAAAGACTTCGAAATGAACTCAGAACGAACTCATTGAGTTAAATTGTTTTTAATTAGATAGTATTTATATATTGTATTTATTAATTTTAGCGAAAGACCCTTGTTAGGGAGCTACAATAAAGTGTCTATGTCAATATCAAACGTTCCTAAATCACGTAGTAGAATGTACTCACGGCTATAGATATGTTTTATACATTTCAAATACAATGATAACAGTCTATTAAACAATTTCTTCGGATTGTTAATTATCTATTGAAGTCGAAAGAGTTCAGTTTGGTTATTTAACAAATTTATGCTGACTTGTTTTTCTATATTAAACTTATCCACTAGAAAAACCAAACGGGCTTCGTGCAAGAGCCCCCTTAAATTCCAGTTTCCTTCTGATTCACGTAGTCCTTGTGTACTTCATTTAGTTGGCTATATAAGTGATCATCATTTTCGTCCTTCCCAGTGTTTTCGAGACCTTTATACGTCGAGTCTTCATAATTCACATCATCTTCAACTTTGTCAGGATTTTCATAAATATCTTTAGAATTATTTCCGTCCATGCTCTTGTTCTCTGGGTTTGCCTTTGATGATTTGAGTCGACGTATTTGGTAGATAAAGTAAGCAAGGGCAACAAATGAAATGGCCAGCAGAACTGCTAATACTATAATTCCAGCGAGACAGTTTTCACCATCTTCTGCACCTATGTAAAAATTAAACAACGCATTAACTTTGAATATCTAAAAACGCGCTTCTTTGGATCACGTAATCATTCAGGATAACTTATTTAAAACAGAAATTATTGTGTTCTGATTAGGTTTTGTTTTATTACATGATGAATAAGTCGAATGCAGTATTACCTGTATCTTTCTGGATCGAAATTGTATGAGTAGTGCTTTGAAATCGGTCTCGGATATGACAAATATATTTTCCGAAACTTGTTTCTGTCACTGTCACAACAAGGAAAGAACTGCGGTGGGGCTTTTCAGTTTCCGTGAAACTTTCCAATGGCTTCTGATCTTTTTCCCAGCTGAAAGTAATTGGAGGTTCACCTTGAGCAGAACACAGTAGGTTGACAAGATCACCTTCCTTTGCCTTTATGACACCGCTGGATATCTTGGTCAATACACGAGGGCCACCTGAGAAACAGAAAATACAAGTGATATTTCAATATACTAACAAAGAACATGTTTTCAGCGAACAAATGGACTATCTTTATTTTCTATGAATAACGGATTTCATATGTATTCTTTACTCGTGATTTTACCATCTAACTCCAAATTATCTATGAATACAGTTAATTAAATTGTTTGCCCATATTACGGTGTTTACCTGTATATTCGTTCGTTTTGGAAGCAGGGCTCCAGTCTGTGGAGTAATATTCACTCTAAAGTAAAGGAAGTAATTTATCAGTGTTGTTTTTGATGCACGAATGACTTTATCGCGTTGTTCTTACCATGTTTGCATGGTAACTGTGTCGATGCCCAATTACTTTTAAAGGAGAAAATAGACAAGGAAAGCTTAACTTCTAAAGTGCATGTGATATCCATAGTCTGTCAAGATATGATGGTCTGGAAGCCCTGCAAACTTCAAAGTTACAAAATAGAAGACCTTTGTTTGATGTTGAACTATGTACCTCACCGTGCACAAATCCTTTGTCTCAACTTCATTAAATATTACCATCGTGGTTGCACGTTTATCTCAGCTATCCCTATTCGACGATCACTTTATTATACGAAATACAATGAGCTCAATCATCAATGACCATGCTCAAATGAACATAAACTCAGACAAAAAACATAAGAAGATGACTTCCGTTCAGTTTCCAAACGATCAGATCTTGATACATTATGGTCATAACCAACAAAGTACCATACCTTATCATTGAGTGCAATCCTTTGAAAAATACTGTAACTAGTGCCAGGCTCTAGCGCACCATTATAATAATCACTCGAGGTTGATATGCGTTTTCGTGATGTTGGATCACTTGTATTTCTGCCATCACCAAGTATAAACATGTTTCCATCAACTCCGCTGGATGCAACTACTGCAGCGATATAAGGTTTCGGATTGGTTGATTTTCTTGCCTCGACATACGTCACTAACATACTGTTCTCGTAACTGTCAGATGATGTAGGTTCCTTGCCATCTTTTAATTTCAAAGCAACCACGTAGAAATAACTACAAACAAAATTTTACCTTTTCACTTCAAATATAACAACCGTTAATAATAGATCCAAATAGCTTGCTAATATCTAAAACTAATCTCAATGGAAGCTGATTTTCTATTGGTCATGACGATGGCGACTATGTCTATGTGGCCGATGCAACAGAGTGTCGATTTATGTCTGCAATGGGAATTAAAAATCATTTGCATACAGTAGACAAACACAAGATATAGAGTTCAGACTCAGCAGGTTACAAGTATAATACAAGGGAGACCACGGAAGCTGGATTTTATAATGGTACCATCAAAGAGTCGATAAACTTACAGAAACGTTTTTGATGGAATTTTCAACGAAAATGTAAGTGTAGTTGATGTCACATCTGTGGCCTTCTTTGCTGCTCCTGGAGGAAAATGTGAAAGTTTTAATGAATAAAATGTATTGCCATAACGAAGCACTGTGTAGGGTAATGAACAGCATAAAAGTAGGCAAACATAAAATTCTAAATAGGCGTTTTCTTCACCACAGACAATATCGAAATGTTGATTTTGTACTTACTTCCATTAGTAAAAAATCCTTTACTTTCACTGTAAGCACTATTTCCTGCTTTATTACTGGAAAGAACACGAACATAATATTTTGTTGATGGGTTCAAATTTCTGACGAGCCACTCCCTTTTACTGGTTGTAAATATTTCCAAGCAAGGACCATTTTCTGAATGTGAAACACACGCAGTATAACTGATAATGACGCCATTTTGTTTATATTTCTCAGGAGGATCCCAGGTGAAAGACAATGATGATGTACTTCTTGATGAGATTGTGATGTTCAATGGAGGACCGCTTGGAGCTGAAGAATAAAACCAAGGTTTGTACTTAAATAAATATATTTAATATAACTCGGACATTTTGAATATGCAATGAGCCACGTGCCAACTTTTCTGATTACTCTTGGTGTAAAGACACTAGTTTGGGGTATCAAAACATTCGGTCGCAAATGTAACTTGTTCGGGGGTTCCATTTTTTTCTTAAACGATAGTAGAGAGCGAAAATATGGGAGAAATGGTTATTTTAAAATATGTAGAAACATTTTCTACAAGCGGCTTGACTAGGTTTCTTAAATTAAATTAAATTAAATAGAAGAGGATAAGGTTTCGGCTCTTTTTTAAATTTTGATCCGTGTTCACAACACGTTTTAGGAGAATAAGCAAACAGGAGACTAAAAAGGCATCAAAATTTTAAAATGTTTTCAGCACAATGTTGTCGTTAATAGACTCGTTTGGTAGAGATGAGTGGACAGAAACACATGAATCAAGAACTTCAAAAACAAAGCAAGAAAACAAAACTGTAGCTTCACATATAATTTGACTTGGAACATTGTTAATTTCAGTTCAAGCTACAATCGTGGAGAACACTGTTAATAAAATAGATAATTTTAGGAAAATACATCATTCAAATAACTTCGTTAGCCCCCCTCCCCCACTTAATGCTGCCATTATTTCCTCCTGGGGGAAGCGGGGGTGGTGGTTTAGGGAAGATACAGGAATCAAACCACAACTTAAACTCTCATAGAGGCAATTTAAAATTTTTATATTAACAAGTGATGTCCACGATTGTAATTTAGTTCAACTATTTGGAACTTAATTTGGTACAAGATACTACTCCAGTTGAGTTAAGGTTGACAATATGCGTTGAAAACAATAAATGAAGAAGCGAATGACTTAATGTGATGATGGATTAAGGTACACCGAGGGTGTATGAAAATTAACGTACGATATATTTCCTTTTTATTAATGATTTTTGGGGAGTTAAATAACGGCCATCGCTTTGGCTGTGTCGTACGTACCACAAGCGCCTTTAAAGGTTTTGCTAATGTAATCAATACATTGATATTCAAAGTAGAGGTACATTGTCAATCCAGGACAAGGATCACCAGAAAACAAGTTGTCATCCACAGTCATATTACACTCATGTTGACCATCACATTGATTCTTTACAAGACATGTTACATTGACTTCACAACTATAATCATCACTTAAACCACATGTCTGTGTGCCAGACAATCCACGATACGATGCAGTCTTGACAACAATGTACTGATCTTTAGGACAGTTGGCATTCTCTACCATATCTCCATAGCACGTCACTGAACCTGGAACAGAAAAAATAATAGAAATAATGAAGGGCATCGAAGTATACAAAATACAAAACACCATTGCTGGACATGATATTCTTATACAGAAATTCAGCATTCTATGAAATATTTGGGACAACTATTGAGTCTCGCTCGTGACTTACTTAATAAGAAAATTTTAATATACGTGGAGTTCAACAAGACTCTTTCTTTGGACCGCTACGTTTTATTTTCTTCATCGATGACATAAAATATATACAGTTTTTGCTTTTGAAGACACAATTAAGACCTCAGCAGTTCCCGAGGTAATTGAATCATTCTTAGATCTATAAAGAAGGTATAAAGCTTTTACTATATACAGCTAAGTCTTAATACAAGAGGTTCACGTCTATCTTCTGGGCTACATTCTTGGACATAACTGGTTGAAACTATTTTCCCCATATAGAAAATTGACATATTTTTATGATAAACTGCATGTTGAATCATGTTGCCCTTCTTAAGCCACCGCTCCCCCAACTCAGTGTTGAGCTTGCATGTGTCATGGTATATATTACCAAAAGTTGTTTCGGCGTTGTTTACAACATTGAAGTTTGCAACATTTACAACATCAAAGTTTGTTTTATCAATGTTCAATAACAATGTAATATTAGCTGGAATGGTCTCAAGGGTTTTGTCCGAGATTGTAGCTTAGCGCTATGCATGGTGGTTGAGAAATTTAATTAGTTGATGAAATGCAGACTGCAAAACCAAACTTTTCATATGCAAAGACATCAAACAAATTACTGAATTGAATACAAATAAAAACAACTTACCAAAATTAAAGCGTTTATTCTCTGCATTGTTACAATTTGTCAATCCGATGTATGGATCTATGCCTTGATTTGTAGCAAGTAGACCATATGTTTTAGGGAGTGCACACTGCGTCTGTGAATTATAATATACAGATAAACCTCCCCAAGATGTCTGGCTTATAGCATGTTTCTGAACACAATTATTTGAAGGATCTGGAGTAAGGAGCATATACAACATATGAAGATTATAACCGATCAGACTATCCCTACGTGTTACTTCGAAACATCCCTTTTTTTTCAAATTGAGCATGGCACTATTAGCAAAAAACCGATATTGAGCAGCTGGATCCAAACAGTTGTTGGAAAGTTCCACAAAAGATAGGCTTCCCCAAGACTCGTCCGCCTCTAGTAGTCCTGTGACATTTATACACATTCCTGTCTGTACATGTTTCACAAAGAAACAAGCAGCACCTGAAACAAAACACAAAAATAAATAACGAAGTATAAATAATGAACTCCTTTTGTGTGTCTGTGTGCTTGAGTTTGTATGAAGTACCATGTAAATAGATGGTTGTTGTTGGCACAATGTCTTTCTCAGCTATTAATGTATATGACGCATATCACATAAGTATACTCGTTTGGCTAAACATGCATCAAGTTGATGCAAGCTTAACTAAACTGATTGGCTGTTCAGTCGCTGCTGCAGTACATTGTTTATTGCAAGCAGTATTATTCTGATCCATTCCTCACTGATCCAACTCGACAATTGGTTCAATAATGCCAATGAAGTTCAATCCAATCTTTTATATTCAGACTGCAGTGAAGTTTAGATTTATAATCATTGCCACTTATTAAGAGCTTAAGTTCAGCACAGAGTGACTGCATATTTGAACACGTGAAATGTGAATGCATGTTATAAACGACAGAAAACGTACCTTGGATTAACAGGAAAACAGTCACCGTCAGTATTACAAAATGAAAACACTTTGAAAACATCTTCTTCAGTTAAATAAGGAAACAGTTTAATACAAGGACGCGTAATGAAAGCGGAACACGAAATGAACCAACGAGGCGAAGCAAAATATCAGAAATATTCATTGAAACTCAGCATGAAGTCGGTGGTGCTTTTGAAATTCCATGAATAACAAATATGAAACATTCCTAAACAAGACGCTATATAGAGCGTTAACTCGCTGGGACTATACAAATAAAAACTAAATTTGGTCACCATATTTGCTCATAATTTGGTAACCGCTACAGAAAAACAGAACAATTTACAGAAAACAAGACGCTCAAGCGTTTACGCCGGCCTCAGTTAGCCAAATAACCTCTCATGTGAGTTTTGTTTCAATCTCCATCCCAGGGTCTTTCTTAGAACGGTGCGAAGCGGTTGGTTTTGTTTATTTGCTTTTGACTTTTTTGTGATATGATTGTGCCTAATTCAGACTAAAAAACTATTGTGTTAAGCCTAGTTTCCATTTGGTCGTTAGTTGTCGCTGGCACGACAAGTGGCTGATGTAATAGAGTGTCAACAAAACTTTACAAAACTCTGCAATCACTAAGACTGATTTGCATATAACACACAAAAAGACTATTATTATATTAAAATGCTGTGCTGAGTGGTTATATTACTACCTTAAAAAATAAGCAGAAACTCGACGTTTCGAGCGAAGGCCCTTCGTCAAGAGTTAGTAGCTACTAACTCTTGACGAAGGGCCTTCGCTCGAAATGGTAGTATAAGGTAGTATAATATAACCACTCACAGCATTTTCACATTGGTACTACCTACACTGGTACAGACAGTTTTAGTATATTATTATATTAGACTATTTCACATCTACCGCTTGTCGTACCAGCGACAACTAACGACCAAATGGAAACTAGGCTTAAGGGTTGTGAATTTGTATGTTTTGCGTGCGAAGGACGAAGAATCATTGTCCTTCTGTTCAGGCAACCATGCTGTGCTTTTGTCCTTCACATGGAAAACATGCATGTCCGGTTACATGGAATAGTTTTTGGTGAACTGTATCAATTTCAAACTTATCGTGTTTAGCACGGCAATAATTTTTGTTGTTTACAGAATTGCCTTCACAACTTACAGTATTTGACACAGATTATATTTTCGAGTATTGTGCCCCAATAGCAATGCACTCGATTATTTTAGTGTCTCATACCAGTCGATTTTGCT